GGGGGGGGGGGGGGGGGGCGTCAGCTCAGAACCCATTCTAGACAGCCCTTCATCCTACTCCCAGCCCTGTCTGAGCCCCATGCGCTTACCTCACTGCTCCGTCACTACAGGCTGCAGCCACAAGGGGGCCGAGGGCAGGCGGGTCAAGCTCACACACTGCCAGGCACATGTACCTGCGGAGGCAACAGCCCGTCAAGCAGAGCCCTGCCTGACCTCCCCAGGCCCTGCCCGCCGCACCCATCACCTGGTCTCTGGGTCCACCTTGACCATCCGGCGCCGACTGCGCTGACAGTCCCAGTCCTCATCCAGCCGGTGAGACGCAAGGTGCGTCACATGGCAGGCGAGGCGGCTGGGGGTGCTGGGGTCCAGGGTGACCATGATGTTGAAGCAGTGCATCTCCGCCCGGCCCCCCGCACACCACGTGGAGGCGGCTGGGGGTGCTGGGGTCCAGGGTGACCATGATGTTGAAGCAGTGCATCTCCGCCCGGCCCCCCGCAGACACCACGTGGGCAGGCAGGCCCGGGCGAGGATCCTGAGGGCCCGCCGGGGTGCCGACGCCCCACACGGCCAGGGCGCGCACCGAGGAGATGTGGTTACAAACGGCTGTAAGCGCGTGGGCTGAGCCCGTCGCCGTGGGGAGCGCCAGGACGCAGATGGTGGTGTCCTCGCTGCACGTGATCACGACGTCGATCAGGCTGGGCCCCTCGCTGCCCGGCTCCAGGTCCTCGGGCTGCATGAAGCTGGGCAGCTCGAATTCAGGCCCCAGCGCGATGGTGCCCACCCGCCTGACACATGTGATCTCGCGGCCGTGCAGGCTCTCCCGCAGAATCACATGTGGCCGGGTGCAGCCCCCGAGAGCCCGGTACAGCAAGACATCGCCATCCTTGAGGTAGGCAAAGGCCATGGCTGCCTCGGTGTCCGAGAAGGCCCAGGAGCGATGGCCGCCGCCGCAGTGGACCACGTGTAGCTTCTCGTGCGACCGGGGGCTCCACACCACAAACTCGTTGGCGTGGAAACCGAGGATGACCGTGTTCCCATCCGCCATCACACGCAGCCCGGCCACCCAGTTCATGCCGCGACAGCACTTGCGCCGCAGGACTGGCTGCAGCTGGCCGCCTCGCACAAGGAGCTGGTAGTAGGCACCATCGCGCCCTGTGCTGTACACGTAGCCACCGTGGCAGGTGACCGAGGTCACACCCTGCTTCCCATGCAGGGACCGGAGGATGGAGACGGGGCCCCACTCAGTCATGGCGGTCTCCTCCTCGCCACTGTCACCACCCCCTCCCAGTTCTCCGGCACCGGCCTCAGCCTGGCCTCCAAGCCCCAGATCCTGGAGCAGAGCCGGTCTGGAGGGGAACAGCAACACGGAGCCCCGCCGGTCTCCACACACCAGGAAGTCGCCCGGGGGCAGGAAGGCACTGCAGGTGTGCCATCTCTGCTTGCTTGGAGGCAGCAGGTACCGGCAGCGTTCTGTGACAAAGATGGCCTTGCCAGAGGGGGCGGCTGTGATCTCCAGGCAGGCCACCACGCCGCCGGGGCCCGACGCCAGCAGCAAGAGCTCCTCGTAGCCTCGCAGAGCCCAGCTCAGGCTGTGCACCTTGCCTGGGAACAGGGCCAGGTCCACGGCCGCCGTTGGAGTATTGATAGGGACAACCTTGACATGACCCTCCCCGTTGGCCATGGCACACAGTCCGAAACCCTCAGGCCCAGGGGCGGCCTCCAGAAGGCAGTAGGACTGGAAGCGCTTGTCCTCCAGCAGTTGCTCCCAGCACTTGACCTCAAGGTCGTAGAGGTACAGGACCCCCGAATCAGTTACTGCCAATACTCGCCACGAGCCAGCCAGCGTCACAGCCTTGAGGGCACCTGGCCTGCTAGGAGACTTGAAGCAGAGAGCTGAGACCCCGGAACCTGGGTGCCCACGCCCTACCAGGTGCCACAGCCGGATGCCTGAGTCGTCACCCCCTGTGACCACCCAGGCTTGCCTCTCGTGGGCAGCGAGGGCCCGGATCCCACGGCCCTGGTGGCCCCGGAATGCCTGGAGGATCTCACCTTCGTGGCTCCATACCAAGCAGACACAGTCCTCTCCTGCACTGACCAGGTAATTCTCTAGCAGCTTGACCTGCCACACGCGGGCGCTGTGCCCAAAGCAGTGCCCAATATTCTGCACCCGCCCCCCAGGCACCCGCAGGTCGCCCACCTTCCAGATGCGAACGCTTCGGTCTTCCGAAGCCGTGGCCAGCAAGCCCTTGCTCTCCAGGTACGACATGCTGAAGACGGCGCCCACGTGCCCACTGACCCGCCGGTCCGGAGCCACGGGCTTACTGTCCACTAAAGCGGCCGCTGGGTACCAGATCAGGAGCTGGTTGGAAACAGCACCTGCCACTATGGTCAGCTCCTTCCAGGTGTCCCCGACCAAGCAGGCCGAGGAGAGGGTGCACCTGTCTGTGCAGGGAACGTCCTGCAGGAGGCACCCTATCACGGGGTCATATAACACCACCGAGTTGTGGCCCAGGGCCAAGGCCATGTTCCCCTCGAGCCAGCGTGCATCCCAGATCCAGTCCGACATGTTCCACAGGCCAGAGCGCCAGAGCTCCCGGAAGCGGCCCTGTCCCCAGCTGATTTTCACGACTCGGAGACCCTTGCTCCCGAACACGGCGACCATGGCCTCCACGTCAAGGTCTCCTTTGGGTTCTGGTCGCACCCGGAACCCATGGATAAGATAGTGGCCAAGCAGGTTCTGCACTCGCTTCATCATCCGCAGGTGCCCCCCAAAATCCAGGCTGTACACCAGGATATCCGGCCCCTCACCTGGACAGGAGCAAAGAGCCACATCAGGACGCCTCGCCTAACGCTGAGGAGCCACAAGAAGAGACGGGGCGAGGGACTCTCCGTCCCGGGGCCTGTGAATGTGCGGGACAATCCTGCAGGCTCACCCACAGACTCCTCACTCGGCCTCCTCCTCACCCCACCCGACTTCTCTTGCTTCAGACAGGAACCTCTCAGCTTTAGCCCCCACACCCTTAGCCTCACGGCCTGTCCACGGATTCTCCCCCTGGGCCCCTGGGCCCAACTCGGGGAGAGGCTTCCCACTAAGACAACCTTTGCACCTGGGGCCACAGCACATCCCTGACTTCCAGGAGTTTCTTCCCTGCACAGGGGCGGGAAGGGGGCGGCGGTGGCACACTTTGGCAGGGGGGCTCCTGTGGCCCTCAGCGGCCTCCTGGCTGCCCTGCAGGCACCTCCCACACTAGCTCCTCTACCACCCTCTGCCCAGCCCCTACCCCCAACCAGGAAGCCCACAGCTCACTCTTCTCAGCTGCCCACATCTCTGTCTCCAAGTGTGTGGAGTTCATTGGCTACAGTTTGCAAACCCCACCAGAGTGTCTTTGGTCCAGAACAACCTCTTACTCTGAAATGACCGTACGTCTCTCATGCCATCCTAGTCTGCACTCTCAAGCTTTAGACAGTCAGTAAAGTTACTGGGCGTCAGTACAAGCGAGACCACGAACTGTGTGCTGGAGCAGTGAAAAGGCAAGCCCAGGCCTTGCTCTGTGGCAGTGGTTCCCTACGTGGGCACACGCCTCAGGGGGCAATGTGATTTTTAAGGGGGGCAATTTGAGAATGAGTTAGTGAATTTTTTGCATTTCTTACGGCTCTAGGGGCATCATATACAGTGTATAAATGTATATTGTGACATATTTTTGCATTTCAGTTCTCATGTTTTGAAACTTTGCTATGTTTTCCTATCACTTCATTATTTTTTTAAACAATTTCTTAGTGATTTCTTCCTCAGTACTTCAACTGTCCTTCCTTCTTATTTTTTTCTTATATATATTTTGATTTTTTACAGAGAGGAAGGGAGAGGGATAGTTAGAAACATGGATGAGAGAGAAGCACCGATCAGCTGCCTCCTGCACACCCCTTGACCAGGATCGAACCTGGGACCCTTCAGTCCCCAGGCCAACGCTCTATCCAGTGAGCCACACCAGCCAGGGCTGTCCTTCTTTTATTTCCCTCTTTCATGGACGCCATGTTCTTTGGGAGCTTCTTTAGACCAAGTGAATGGCCTTTAGGTTTCCTCCATGTGAGTAGGAGCTCGCTTTTTGAATAAGAATTATGGGGGGGGGGTCAGGATTTTAGAGGTGCTTAGGTGGGCGTGGCCAACACAAGGCTGGGAACCCCTGCTCTAGGAACTGGGCAGACACCAAACAGCAGCACACAGGGAACCATGCTATCACGGTGAGTCCCAGGGGACACCTATGCAGGCCGCTCTAAGAATTTAAAATGGTGAGTCTAGTCCACTGGTTCTCCATGGGGGTGGACGGGGCAACTTCCCTCAGGCCCTGGCAATGTCGGGAGGCATTCTGGATGGTCACACTGTGCGTGACTGGCGTGGAGCCAGGGAGGCTGCGAGACACCCTGCGATGCAGGCAGCCGCTCACAAAGAATCATCTGATCCCACCCGTCCAGCGAGGACACTGGGACAGGAGACGGGGTGAGCTTCGGGGAGGCCCCCTCGAGGGCGAGACATCCCGGCGGCGGAATCTAAGGGGCAGCGGCCACTGAGCAGCTAGAAAAGCCGGGAGGAGAGAGCTCTGCCGTCCGGGCTCCGACCCGGACCCGGTCCTGGTCTGGGTCCCGGAATCTGCCGGCCTGTTTCCCTGCGCGGCCCGGGGAGGAGCATGGACATGGATTCCCCGGGCCCCACACATCTC